TTCAGTGAGATTTGACTATTTCCTTCCTTAAACGAATACCTAAGCCGTCACGGACGGTGTAGTGGTTAGGTGAAGATTTGGCTGCACGCACTGTTGGGCCATTGCATACTGGGCGTTTGTGTCTTTGTGTATTGAAGTTGCTTAAAATTTGCCAATTTGAAAGCGAGGGCGAAGAAGAGTATAAGTTTTTGATGCCATATTTTGGGGTGCCTTCCGTGGAAACTGGCAGGTAATTTAGCATCAAGAGTTTACTTAGCCTAAGTTAAATATTTCAATTCAGTCTAAATACTTAAATTACTTTGTGTTAAATTCGAGAGAAAAGAAATACGTTATTGTTGCCCATTCCGAGTTCTTAAATGTAGACAGGCCCATGAGTTCATCTATCATTAGTTATAGAGCTAATATATGAGTGGTAAAATTCTTGAATTTTGCTCTGATCCCTTCCATTAATGGTCGACAGTAAGTTTTTGCGGCTGGGAAGGACAGCTGATGTAGTTAACTTTCAGTTCTATTTATCCATTACCGCAAGAAGAGCCTCTTATTTGGCAAATTCATTCAAGATAGCAGATCGAATGGCATATATTATAAGAATAAACTATACAGTTCTTGCTTTCATGTACAATAGTCGCAGATATATAGAAGGAAGATAGGTTATCAGAATAACAATTAGTATAAATTGTTGTGAGCTGTGAATATAGTTAACAAATATAAATGTGCAGTCATTACCTACATGCACATGAAGTCATATATCTAAAACCTATATGCTAAGAAACATAAAAATGGAGTTATAAACAGAAATACTTTCCGGCTAGAGAGAGCGGACATAAGTGCAAGCAAAGCTAAATATTATATCCTCTCCCGACGGAAGTTTCTGTTGCAGTTGAATTCATCAATCTGGGCTCACTGGGGGTTATAGCTCGATCTGGTAAAAATCTGAATTAAACGAAATAATCTAATAGCTATAGAAAGACAAATTCTTCAAAACACAGTGCAAACTTAGGTAATAAGGGTCACTATATTATTCATTATAATGCGTATTTATTGAAGGCTTGTGCAAATTATGCTATCTGATGAAAAATAACTAGTTTGAAGAAACTGATGATCTTCTTTTAGTTTGCACTAGAGTTAGTTTCTTTTACTATTAAATCGCAGACATAGCTTACGTATTCATAATTTGTATATTCTCGTTCGCTGTTCGTGCTTAATAACACAAATTAAATATCTCTTCTGGTACCCATTTTCATGGATTTTTCCTGATTTGTCCTGATCTTTATCACCATCATCTTCTGGACTGAAACTCGCTGCTACTGTCTACAATTTTTGCTTTATTGGAAATTTAATAGCTTGGATCATCTTCATCCCTTTCTAATCACATAGTCACAGTTTAATGTTTCCCAGTGACAACTGTCAGTGTGAAACATTGTGATTATGTCACTGGGACAGTATCAATGGCGAGGAACATTGCACCAAACTTGCGAAGACGAACTCTTCCTCGCCAGTTTGATGCAATGCTTCATGAAAATCTTGCATCTCTCATCCAGTTAGTCTATCAGGATCTTCATTTTTACGGAGATTTTTGTTAGGAAATGGGAAAAGTTTAAGATTTAATATATTTTACATCAGCCTAAAAATAAAAGTCATTGCCCTTAGGTTGTGTTTCTTTATATTCTGTGATGTCTGTTGATCCCCTTTCTTTTACATTAGAGATTGATACTACAATTTCAAAAACTTTACTCAGAAATCTTTCCTTTATCAATATTAGGTTATACATCTGGTGATTCTTGATATATCTGTAATAATTTGTGACTTTTTACTATTAACGTTTAGTTTTACTATAAAAGTTTTTCAGAATTGTCAGAACTGGGCGAAATCCTGGTTTTTAAAATCTGAATTAACGAGGATTTGCGTTATTTACATGGATTTTCATCCTTGTAAACACACCATCAAAAGAAAAAGTGTTTTTTTAATTGTTTATTAAGTGTAATGATCAAGAATGCTTTTTTTCACGTCGCAGTTTTGAACAATGCGAGTTTTTTTTTTTTTTTTTTTTTTTTTTTGTGTGTGTGTGTGTGTGTGTGTGTCTTGCGGTTAAGAATTAAAAAGAATGACAATGACGGGCTTAGGTCGACATGATCTGAAACTATTTAGCAAAGCTATATTAAACGTGCATGCGTTCTCTTCGTATTCTTGTTTGTTAGCTCGTGGAATTTACCTTTCTTTATCTGCTTCTCGACAGTCCCATATGAAACAGCACAAGTTGTATTTTTAACTTCATTGTGTATAATACGTTAAATGGGAAACTGGGTATTTTAGTAATCGGAGATTTTCTGTTGCGCTTGATAACTCTGGGCAAAAGGGAAGCAAAAGTATCATTACGATATTAATATAATTTTCGTAGTTTCCATAATTTGTAATTTCATTATATATTTTGCTTAATTTCGTTTGCAGTTAAGTAACACAAATATTGTTGATAAGATTTAACGTGAAATTCATGATATTGTATAAATATTTTCTATAATTAATTTTTAACCTTTGCTATAAATTTTATGTAGTTTTTTTTCCGACGTAGTACGGCCTAGATACCACTGCTTTAAGTTATATGCAAAATACACATTTTATTAAAAACAGTCAAACTAATAGTAATCGCTAGTGATTAAAATTCTTCTGTATGTGTATAATATTGGATAGAAGAGAAACGGAAAGGTCTATACTTACGAAGTGCAAAATATTGACAAAATTCATTTGTTCCGCGTATATCAGTTTCAATCTCTTGATGCATATTTTTTTATATGCGTAACAGAATTTTGTAATGTCATAATTTTTTCTTTTTATCATTCTAGAAATCGAACTGGGAACAAAATGCGTGGTGGAAGTGGATCAACAACAGACTATTCTACATAACCCCAGCTCTCGGAACAGGTTAGTTAACGCATTGTTATACTTTTCTGTTTTTAAACTATCACATTATTTCGAACGGGATCTGTTACTTCATTTTTAAACGAAGCGAAACTAAATCCGGATGTTTCGGCAAACTTTGCGTGGAATGTGATTAACGCAACCTGCATTTTATGAATTATGTATGAATGACTTCATAGTAATCTGTGTTTCGTGCGCGATTTGTGGTATGTTCGACTTTCATAAATATTCTTCACGAATTTAATGGCGTAGAGGTAATTTTGTATCTAAAATATTTCCTACCATACGATTATTATGACTGGTTAAAAGCCTTTTTTATATTTAAATTTAACGCAGTTGTTATTATTGCTTAAGTTCGAAACCAAAAGCGAAGTAGTTTTAAATCCACTCTTCACTATTTTTCATTTTTATTTTTCATATAAAAAAGTATACCATTTATTATTGTAAAAGTAATTTGAAGAAATATATACTTCTAAATCGTATTTTAGAAACAAAATTTTAAACTTTTATAGTCAATAGCATAGTTAAGCGTTATTTATTGCGTTGTTCTGGAGATTGTCTTTCTGGAGAAAAATTTTAATGTCTTTTCTCTACGTAACTTTCTGCATTAGAAACAAAATTTAATGATGATTATAAATTTACGCAGAAGCGTATAAAAATTTTTTCGATATAAAGTCGTTTCTAAAAAATTCTGTATATTGTTTTAGCAATTAATTTTCTGCTGAAATTTAAGCTAAGTATTTTTTTTTTTTTTTTTTTTTAGGCACAATATTTTAGTATTGTAGCCTAATATGTAAGTTTTTATAAGTAAAACTGCCCTCAGTAACAGTAGTATTTTTAATATTTTCTCTTGTTGCAACCTCGGTCGAGACCCTAATATGAAGCATTTCTGTTAGCGTAATGTTTGCTTTTTAATGTATGCATTTTCTTTGTAACTTTGATTGTGCTTCATGTTGTCACATTCATCTTCTTAATTTAGCCTTTCTTTTATCTAAATTTCATCATCAAATGTTTTGTTCCAGCCAGAGCTACATGATTCTGAAAATCCAAAATTATTTAATAAAATAAAATTAATAACTTTTATAATTCGTCAGATTCATGGCCGACAGTAATGTGTTTAAATCGTGCCAACTTCATTTTAAAACCGCTTCTAAAGCTCAATAAAGAAAACCAAACAATTCAATTTCAAATATCCAAGCAGAAATATCTTTCATTAACAATAATTATGAGGTAATTAAAAAATTATCAATTGGTGTAAATTCATCAATTACATAATTTAAATCATCATAAAACTATATTTTTAATCAAATTGAAAATGAATTTAGATTGATTGTGATTATCCTTAATACAGGGTTTTAAGACGGTGTACTACTTTTAAATTGTTCAATTTTCTTGATCACGTACATTGCAATTTGAAAGCTCTTTTTCCACATCGAATTGCGGTATTCCGAAAACCCACTGTTTGCCAGACAATTGTTGTACGGTGGGCACTAGCCATTTTTAGGCTTTCGCCACTACTAAGGCCAGAAGCAATGGTCATTTTATTTTACAGGCACCTAATAGGTGGCCACCGATACCTTCAATTTACATCTATGCCTTCTGCGACAATTTACATCCATGCCTTCTGCGGGATTCGAACCCGGTCCCTTCGGTATTGCAGTCGGATCCGCTGACCACTATACCGTCTGGGCGGCTTGCCAAGTAATATGTAAGATAAATTAGATTTATTCTCATGCCATGGCAATCAGACATGCTTTAGGCGAAAGGTGCCATATCACATACCAGTTAAATTTTCTGGTAACATGCTATGATGTAACGTCACTTGACGTGTTGTGCTATTTAAAAACTTGAAGTCATTTGCAATAATGTGAAAATTACATTATGAATACAGTTTTTTAGTTTTTTTTTTTTTTTTTTTTTTTTTTTTTACATGCCAAGCTCGTTTAAGAGTTAACAAAACTGCTTCACAGAATTAACTTCAACTAGGAAATAACCAAAATACCTTTCTGATATTAACCTGAAGGATCATACTGCAAGTTTCTGTTAAATTGTTTGTTAAATCATATACTTAATGAAGTATCTTATGTATATACATCGATTCCTGGGAAGAAAGGATCAAATTAGAGATACAGTATCGTTCAATTCTTGTACATCTGCTTAAATATTGTTGACTTTTGTATCTCTTGAATTATTTTCGGCAGTGATGAAATTAATATTAAATTTATTTGTTCTGAAAGATATATAGTTACCGAAGACAAGCGATAAGGAATCAGAAAACTACTTTTGTTATTTTAGGATAAGCTTCTTTTATTAAAGAAAAATCACCATTGGAGCTTTCCTTTTAGATTTATGCACGCATATATATATATATACACATGAAATAAATTCTTTGCTTTGAAGAAGACTTAACACTTTTTGCATTAAGAAATATCTGTAAAACAAAGAAACAAAACCAAATGTTGCAAGTTGTTTGGAACGGCAAAAATAAATATGTGAATTTGCTTGAATGATTATTAAAAAAGCGAAACTTTAGTTAAAGCTGTAATTATAAATTTTTGAAAAATTTATTTATGTATGTCATATTTTCAAATGCGTAGTCGTGATGGCAGAGTGGCAATACGAAACAAAGATGACGAAACTGCGTTTCGATAAATCATCAGTCTTTATTTTCGCACATATCAAATTATTTCTTAGTAGATACGATATTTCTAGATCGTAAGCAATTACAATATTTTTTATATGCCCGTTATATCATCTTAGAATAAGAACAAAGGAGGGCATAGCATCATAAAGATGTTTGCAATGCAGAAGCTAGGAAAAGGGTTTATTTGCGAACGGTATTTATACTAAGTACATGCAGAAAGTACTCTAAGCTATGATTGATTAATTTTAGGTCGTTATATAATCATGGATGGATCTCGAATTTGGGAGAGCAGATCAATTTAGGGGTAGAGCACCAAATCTAGAATCGTTAATTTTGAGGTCTCCAATTATTTTTAAAGCAGCTATCGTATTTTTTAAATCTTACATGTATATATTACTTAAACCGTTTATGACTACAACTGCTGACACTTTGACGTTGTGACCAAAAACTAAATTCAAAATAATAAATTAGATAATAAAAGTTTTTATTTTTGTTGCTGTTTGTTTTTATTAGTAAGTTAAGTACGAGGCAGGCCATTGTACTGTGCAGTTACTATTTGTACATATTTATTTGTAAACTTTATATAGGTTTTGAATCTAAATGCGAATATGTATTTTATTTATTAGCGATATAACATTAACGTCACTTAATTTTTGGAAAGATGTATGTCCCTTTCCGCGCTCTCAGCATAACTTTATTCCCTTGTTACTTGTATGTCGAATCCACCACGATCACATGCAGATGTATTATTTTATTTGTTATATTTCTGTAGTGGATTGAAATATTCTAATAACGAAATATTAAATTTATTAACCATCTGCAAAAGTTTAAAAGTCGCTGTGCCATATAAATTGTTTTAACTTTTTGTATGTGAAATGTCTGCCGCCATTCATTTCAAATTAATTTTCATTTTCTACAGATAACTTTGATTATGTTATCTCATATATTTGGGATCGTTAACTTAGTGTTAAGTATCAATTCCTCCATATATCAACCGCTTGGTTCTAAAGTAATTTATATATATATTTTAAAGATTTGGACTAATCAGAAATTGCATAGACGAAGTTACTTGCAAGTAGTGGAAAAGTTGTACGATTGCAGTTTCAGAATAAATAGCTTTGAGCAAAGGGCATGGAAATACGCCATTTGTAACCAAGTTCTTTGTGAATAAAAAGACGAATCTCAGTTTTCTCACTGAAAAAAGGACTTACACCACTTTGGAACTTAGAAGTAATATACTTTATTAAGCTCTATGCAGGAAGCTTACCTGACGCTCAAGAATGGCGAGACTATTACGTAAATGCTTTGCAGGGGGGGGAGTAATCTTATCCTTATATTATTTTCCGTATATCTAGTTGGCACTCTGTCTCTGTAGGATACTGAAAGTCGTTTTCAATTGTCTTAGCTTTCCACTCATCTTGAAGGTATTGAAAACGTGCATTGAATTGTCAAAGCATTGAATTTTTATTTGAATCCATTCGCGGCTTTTACGCAATAAGTGTCTTTTTTGCTGCCGGCGACATAAGAGGAAGTACGCTGGGATGAATATTTGTTATCAAGGCTTTTAAACAGAGCAGCATACGTTTGGCAGGTATGTCTGTTATTCATGTGTGTATACTAATGTACGACTCTTTTTGACGAGGCTGTTTGCTTTGAAAGCGACCTTCGTGTCTTTTCTCTGACGGAGAAAATTGATGTTCTGGAATTAGTTGTTAAGTACATTGAGAAGGCCATTATGTGGTTTTATATCATTAAGTATGCCGTACAATAAATGATGATGGAATATGTGTTAAGCATTGGTATAGGTTGTTTTATGGTTCTTAGGTATTCGGGTGATAATGCGTTTCATGTCCGTGTACGTATTTTTATATCCGTATTATTTTATTGTTGCAGTTAAATGCATTAACGATACAGAAAAGGTTAATGGATGTTTCGGAGTTTCATTGCTATTGTAGGTGCAGAAATGCAGGTGTGCTGCTGCCTGTACACCGACAGCTGTTAAGTTTTCATTTTTTTCATATTTTTCATTCCTGAGTGAAAGCGCATTTTGTTCGAGATATTTTAGTCATTTTTAATAGTGTTTGAATGAAAAATAAATAAATAGATAAAAATAAAAGTATAAAAATGAGAACTCGGAATGAGATCTTTAGGTATCTTCTCATATATGAAAAGCATATTTTTCAAACATATATTATTCTCTATGGAAAACAATAAAATTTACACATTTAAACTTCTTAACAGTGAATTGCCAGCTACAGTGCAAATGCTTATAAACCTAATGATTTGAATACAGCATAAATCGTACGAATCAGAGTACATGTATTAGAATTTACATCAGATATAGATATTATGCATACTG